CAGAGCTGGGCAGTATTCGATTTTGTAAATACTTTTTAGTATTCAAATCCTTTAAAGTATTCAAATACTTTGTAATTAAATACTTTTATGGAAGCAGTATTTGTATTTCTAACTCAAATACTTTCACAAATATTTAGTATTCGAATACTTCGCAAGGTATTTGAATACTTAACCTTCTTTTTTTTACCAAAAATCGACTACACCAACATTTCTCGGGAAAACACTTATTCTTATTAATTTTGGTGCGTAGAATCCAAAACAATTCGTACTTTTTCGATCAGACTTCTCAATCAAAAGTTATAGACTAGAAACCAATTTCAAAAAAAATTCAAAGGGCTGTAACTTTTGAACTAGTAGCCCAATCTTGGAACTGTTTGAAATTATGGATTCTACAGGCCACATTCTATAAGAAAAGAAAATTTTTTTTCCGGGTCGATCTGAGACAATTTCTTTGCGGGCTCGAAAAAAAGGCAGTGTATAACCTTCCTTTTTTACCAAAAATCGACTACACCAAAATTTCTCGGGAAAACACTTTTTCTTATTAATTTTGGTGCGTAGAATCCAAAACAATTCGTACTTTTTCGATCAGACTTCTCAATCAAAAGTTATAGGACTAGAAACCAATTTCGAAAGAAAATTCAAAGGGCTGTAACTTTTGAACTAGTAGCCCAATCTTGGAACTGTTTGAAATTATGGATTCTATAGGCCACATCCTATAAGAAAATTTTTTTTCCGGGTCGATCTGAGACAATTTTTTTTTCGGGGCTCAAAAAAAGGCAGTGTATAACCTTCCTTTTTTACCAAAAATCGACTACACCAAAATTTCTCGGGAAAACACTTTTTCTTATTAATTTTGGTGCGTAGAATCCAAAACAATTCGTACTTTTTCGATCAGACTTCTCAATCAAAAGTTATAGACTAGAAACCAATTTCGAAAGAAAATTCAAAGGGCTGTAACTTTTGAACTAGTAGCCCAATCTTGGAACTGTTTGAAATTATGGATTCTACAGGCCACATTCTATAAGAAAATTTTTTTCCGGGTCGATCTGAGACAATTTTTTTTTCGGGCTCAAAAAAAGGCAGTGTATAACCTTCCTTTTTTACCAAAAATCGACTACACCAAAATTTCTCGGGAAAACACTTTTTCTTATTAATTTTGGTGCGTGGAATCCAAAACAATTCGTACTTTTTCGATCAGACTTCTCAATCAAAAGTTATAGACTAGAAACCAATTTCGAAAGAAAATTGAAAGGGCTGTAACTTTTGAAATAGTATCAACCTTGGAACTGTTTGAAATTATGGATCCTACAGGCCACATTCTATAAGAAAATTTATGAACATTCTGGTTACTGTCCATTTCCGACCGTTGATATCTGTTATTTTCAAACATTTGTCAAAAAATTTTAATGCGTTTTTTTAAGTCACAAAAAGCGGCAACTTAGCCCCCATTTAACCTACACTGTATCTTTCACCGTTACGGAGATCCCAACTCGTGAGCCACGAATTTGAACCACCCTGTATCTACAGTTCTATCGTAAATATTAAACACCCAAA